ACTCAGGGGCTGTGTGTGTGTGTGTGTGTGTGTGTATTAGGGCACACCCACAAGTACTCAGGGGCTCTTCCTGACTGTGGTTGGGGGTTACTTCTGGCAGCGCTTGGGGAACCCCGCAGTACTGGGGCTAGATAGGGGACCTCCTGCAAGTAAAGCTTGCACTCAGCCGAAGAGATGATTGAGCCAGTCCCCATGAATGTATTTTATTCTTAAAGAGATCGGGACCTCATAGAATAACAACGTATTTCCCGACATATTTCAACGGTGGAAACACCTTCATAAAATGTTTCAAATCTTGCTCAGTTTATCAAGTGCCTTGAACTTTGCATCATGCTTTGGTATGTGGGATGCTCAAGTTCAATTCCTGGTATAGCATGGTCCCCCCAGCATGAGTAGCCCCTAAACACCACCAGGTGTGCCCCTACCATACATAACCAAAAAGAGGTGAAATTTGGACCCAACACTTCCAGTTGGATGACTGTCAAACATCACTTAAATAATCCATCTCTCCACTGGTAACCAAAAAACACACTACTTTTGCATAAATAAGTTCAGGTTTTTTCTTTGTGATATTTGCCTAATTGGTATTATACATGATTTTCAAAACAGGGCTGGAGCGATAGCACAGCGGGTAGGGCGTTCGCCTTACAAGCAGCCAACATGGCCGACCCGAGTTCGATTCCTCCGCCCCTCTCGGAGAGCCTGGCAAGCTACCGGGAGTATTCGATATGCCAGACACAGTAACAACAAATCAAAACAGACTGTCAGTATAAAAATATCCTACAAGGACTTTGAGTGGAATGGTGTGGATGCAAATACCTTTACAGAACTCTCACCAGCTTCAGGGTTAATAGAAAGAAACTATATTCCTTTTATTAAATCAAGCTTTGAGCATATTACAAATACTCATCATTAAAGTTTCAGCTCCAAAATGGTTATAAGCCCTTAATACTGATGTACTACTTTCCAATGTTCACTGCTTTAAAATAATTTTTAAACAGACTTAAGAATCCTATCTAGGGGCTGGAGCGATAGCACAGCGGGTAGGGCATTTGCCTTGCATGTACCCAACCTGGGTTCAAATCCCAGCATCCCATATGGATCCCTGAGCACTGCCAGGAGTAATTCTTAAGTGCAGAGCCAGGAGTAACCCCTGTGTGACCCAAAAAGCAAAAAAAAAAAATCCTGGTCTAGGGGCTAGAGAAATAGTACAGTGAGTAGCATTGCATGCCACTGACCCAGGTTTGATTCCCCAGCATCCCACATGGTCCTCTGAGCTCTGTCTGAAGTAATTCCTGAAGGCAGAGCCAGGAGTAACCCTTGGAAATGCTGCTGGGTGTGGCACCCAGACAAAAACAAACAAAAGAATCCTGGATTCTGAACATATAGTACAGTCATAGCCCTGCACTTAGCCAACATGAGTTCAGTGTGATACATAGCATCACATATGACACCCCCCCCCAGGAGTATTGCCAGAAGTGATTTCCTGAGCACAAAGCCAGGAGTTACCCTGATAATCACTGGTTTTGTGACCCAAAAACAAACAAAAAGGATTCCTGATCTATCATTTGCTGAGTACTAATTCTGGATCACGTTCTATGCTAAGCTTTATACATATCTAGTAAAGTTTTCTAACAAGAGCGTTTTAAAACTTTTATTAATATTTGGGCTTGGGGCCACATAGCAGTGCTCAGAGAACTATTAGTTCTGGGGGCAAAAACTGGGTCTCCTACATGGAAAGCATGCAATCAGCCTGCTGCACTCTCTAGTCCAAGTTTTGAGAACAAAGTTATATAATTCCATTTTAAAATATCACCGTGGCAGGACTACAAGGAATGCATTTGATGGAACAGAGTGATAGGACATTGGGGAGGGTACTTGCCTTGCATGTAGCAAGCCTAGGTTCAATTCCTGGCACCCTATATGGTACCCTGAGCACTGCCAAGAGTAATTCCTGAGCACAGAGCTAAGAGTAACCCCAGAGCATTGCTGGGTGTGTCCCTCCCCACCCCAAAAAAGAATGCACTTGAAGGGACTAGTAGGATGCAAGAAAAACTGTTTAAACAATGGTTCCACTGTATTTTTAACCCTGGCATTAAAATCAAAAGAAGTGGATGAATATCAACTGTTTATCAGGTACAGCCAACAGTGGTGACAGAGAAGGTGAGAGCTGGATGCCTGAAATGACTCTGACTTTTCTAATGATAAAATATGCGCTTTAACTGAAGACTCACACATTCATAACATTAAGGAGCTCTCTTCCCTATATAAATTATATATTAACCTGCTCAAAGGTTTTTCTGAATTCCTACATATGCTTTTTTTTTCCTGAAGAATGAATTCTTTGATCAACAGTAAGAGACTGACAATGGCTGAACTTTACCATAAATTTTATGCAGTACACTCAAAATGTTTTTTCCCAGAATGACATCTGTTGGGGTGCCAGGAACTAAGGGCAATTGAGGCTTAAGTCGAGTAAATATGACAGATGCCCAGGAGTAAATATTATTCAGAGCCAATTAACTCCCAACTTTCTGGTCCCCTCTTATTCAAAGCTTAGTATCATAGAAATTATGAAGGATGGGGATACACAAAGGTGGGGTTGAACATTATCATAACAATAAACAGAGGTAAAGCTACTACTTCAGCAGATTAACTCAAGGACAAAATCTCATTTGAGGAGATTATTCCAGATTACTAGGATATCCACTCAAAGGGCTCAAGGGCGGGATTCCATCCAAGGTGTATTGCTTTCTCCTTTCCTCAGCTAGTAATCCATTTAAACAATCTAGTAAATTTACTTCTTATAATATTTCTAGTCATTTTGTATGAACACAGTAAGAGATATATCAAGCTTAAAGTTGGCTCTTCCTGGGGACATCTCACTATATATTCCAGACCACTGTCCTCAGGTCAGGTTAGTCTTTCCTAACTCCAGCAGGGTCCTTATTCAGTGACTTTTTTTGTCCATGACCGTGCTCTTATAGTTAAGTATTATGGCATTTGGCCTGGTCCATTTAGATGCCAGGGTAGCTCAGAGCTTGCCCTGGGTCCATCCAAGTCCCTTGTTGGGACCCTGATTTGGGGGCGCTAGAAACTAAGGGAAACTGAGGCTTAAGTCAAGTAAATATGGATTCCCAGGAGTAAATATTATTTTGGAGTCAATTAACTCCCATGTTATGAAGCATAGCATCAACTGTCTTCCTGTGTCTATACAAAAAGGACATTGCTAAATAAACCATGCAAAGGACATAAAGGAAAGAGAAAAACAATTTGGATTATTAGTGCTTGATGGAATTGGGTGTCCCTCAGGGGCACTGTTGTGGGAGTAACTCAATAAACCTTAAGCTCCCTGAGGGAGGAGAAAGGACTGCCCAATGTTATGTAACTCTATATGATCCAGCAATTCCACTTATTGGCATCTATTCTAATACATGAAACATTAATTCAAAAAGGATATATACACATCTATGTTCATCACCACACTTAGTACAATATTCATGATATGGTAACAACTCAACACCCAACTATAGATGAATGGATCAAGAAATTGTGGTATATATACACAATGAATAATATGCAGCTCTAAGAACAAAATCATGCATTTTGAAACAACATAGATGGAACTACAGGATATGCTGACTGAAAGCAGTCAGAAGGAAAGGGATAAATATAGAATGATCTACTTATATGCAGAATTTAAAGATACACAGCAAAGTAACAATAAAGGTGAAAGGCAATAAAATGGGAGAATTGATCCACATAAGTGAGTTTGAGGGGGACTGAGAAGGAGGAGTCTTGAGGTCCTTGGGGGAGGAAGGAGGTACACTGGTGATGAGTGTATACGCATGAGAAACATTACGTGCATTATTAATAGCATTGAAAATCACTGAATCTCAATTAAAAATACTTGGAGGACCATACCTGATTTGCTTACTCCTAGCTCTAGCTCAGAAACACTTCTAAGCACTCAGAAGACCATTTGAAGTGCCAGGATCAAACCCAGGCCAGCTGCAAGGCAATCACTCTACCTGCTGTACTATTGCTCCTGACCCACAATAAACAATTTTTTAAAAGAATCTAGTGGGGGCTGGAGTACAGCTGGCATTTACCTTGCATGCAGCCAACCTGGATTCAATACCTGGCATCTTATATGGTCCCCCAAGCACTGCCAAAACTAATTCCGGTGCAGAACCAGGAGTAATCCCTGAGCACTGCCAGTGTGGCCCAAAGACAAAAACAAACAAAAAGAATCTAGTATATAGAGATTTGAACAAAGTTCATCTAAAGAGATGATTCCTCATGCATTCTTTGAATAGAAGTTATTACTTGCCCATTTAAGTTGAAACCCAACTCACTGTAACAGATAATTTTCATTCCAAAGAACAGAAGTCAAATCATTTCACAAGTATTTAACAATAATAAATAATACAATCTTGTGCACCAATGGGTGTGAGGTAAAAAAAATCCTTATAAGGTGAGAAAAGGGGATCAACAGGGTCTTGGAGCCTTGTCACCCTAAGTCTCACATATTATATAGGCAGTTGAGTTTGGACAGTATCCTCTGGGAAAAGTGAAAGCCAGGAGCTTGGACAATAGTTATCCCAGAAATTATCAAAACATCATTGTATAATTGAAACCCAAGCACAAAAATTTGTAAGTCTACAACAGTACCTCATGGTGTTTCAGTAATAAAAATTTTAAAAATAAAATAAATATAAACACACATGCATAAATATATACATATGCAAAAAAAGAAATTATCAAAACAAAGATGCATTGCTAGGGGCTGGAGCCATAGTACAGCGGGTAGGGCGTTTGCCTTGCACATGGCTGATCTGGGTTTGATTCCCAGCATCACATATGGTCCCCCAAGCACCGCCTGGAGTAATTCCTGAGTGCAGAGCCAGGAGTAGCCCCTGTGCATTGCCAGGTGTGACCCAAAAAGAAAAAAAAAGCATTGCTAAATTTTAAACAGCAAGATTCTTTTTTTTTTTGAAAATGACAATAACAGCTCACTTGGGGTATGACTCGTACTAGTTTCACAGTCATTTGGCTTTCTCTTGTGACATGCTTGCTTGGTATCAGCAGTGTTCTAGGAAAGAAAGCTGGAGAAAGGAGCATGAGAAAAGAGACCTTCTACCTCCCCCAGAATTACCCACAGAGTTTAGGTCCCAAGTGCAATATTTTTCCAACAAGGGTCTTTCAGATGGGAGAGACAGTACAGAGAGGAAGGCACTTGCCTTTCATGCAGCCCACCCAGATTCCATCCCCAGCACCCCATATGGTCCCCTGAGCACAGAACCAGGAGTAAGCCCTGAGCACAGCTGGATGGGGTTCAAAACAACAACAATAATAATCAAAAAGCAAATATCCAAACAAATCAAGAGGCCTTTTCATTCTTTGTTTACTAGAAAATAAGATGCCCTGGGTCCTGTGCCTATATTTTTTTTTATTTCTAACCCCTTTAAAAGCTATCAGCTCACATTTCTAGGTGAACCTGGATTGCTTCCCTTCTTGCACCTCTGGTCAGTCTAACTAGATGGTTTGGAAAATCTCCCAAACGCCCCAGAGGTCAGATGAATCCTCCTTTCACCAACGACATCCCCACAACCTGTGGGACTTCATTTTCTCCTCCACCAGGGTCAATGGATCTTGTTGTCACCTTCGTCCTCTGGTCTCAGCCCATTTGGCTGGCGTCTTCCTCTTTTGGTCACCCAGAACTGAGGGTTCGTCCTGGTCCCTATCAGGAGTTTCCACTGGAACTCTGGGACTAGGGAGCGCTGGAATGTGGGGGGATTCTACTCCCATGTCACGGGACCCCAACTGCCGTGTGAAGCACATGCTCCCACACGGAGCCCACAGGGTCGCCACACACGGTCACTCGTGAACCCCCGGGTCAGGGAGGCCACGAGTTTTCTACCCCCTGCGACTGAGAGTGCCCAGTCTCTCATGTGGGACAGGCAGCAGCCACAGGGGCGACAAAACTGGCAAACCTGGTCTGTCTCCCTTTTCCCCGAAAGATGGGGACAGATATATCCAAACGCGCCCGAGCGCGACAGCCCGGCTGCCAATCAGCCTCTGCCTGTCCCGCATCCGTCATCTAATCTGTCAGTCCGACAGTCGGTCTGTCAGTCTTTTCATTTGTCAGTCCCTGCATCTGTCTTGTCAGTCCGCCCATCAGTCACCGTCGGTCAACCAGTCTGCTTGCCATCTAGTCCGTCTATCAGTCCGCCCGTTAACCCGTCTCTGCCAGTTCATGTTCCTGCACCAGCACCCCAAACCGGCACTCTCTCCCGCCCCGCGCACCTCAGTGCTGGCGGAGCCCCGGGCGCCACCGCAGATCTGCACCTGCTCGGGCACTCGTACCCCTACACACGCGCCGATCTCACACATGCGCACACGCGCGCGCAGGCCTCTGGGAAATGTAGTCGGTACGGGGCTCAGCTCAGAGAGGCCCACGATCCACCCCGCCACCCACCCGGAACGCCCCCAAAACACTCCGCCCGGAGGCCGCCACTCGCTTACACTATGGTGAGTGCGCAGGCACGTTCGAACCCTCCGGGGGCCGGGACGGTGGACCGAGGGGGTGGGCCCGGCGGAGAGAGGCGTGCGCTCAGGCATCGGGATGGGAGGTGCCGAGGAGACCGCGTGTGCGAGCTGCCGCTGAGACCGCACCGCGTGGGGCGTGGCGAGGAGCTGAGCTTCTAGGTGAAGGCCCTGGAGACCGCAGCGTCCCTAGTTACCGAGCTGCCTTTACCCTGCTGGGCAGCACTTCCTCTTCTGAGACAAGAGCAAATCTGACGGTGAGGGGCGGCTTTCTTTCTGGACTGCGTTCAGCTACTACAGCAGATCGGTGCATTTCTCATCTGCAGCTGGGGATTTCGTTATTATGATCACTCGAAGGAGATCGCGGATTTCGTGGACGTCACATACCCTACTCTGCCCCAGTCCGAGTGGGAAGCGCCTGTTGGGCGCACTGAGAACAGGGACTTAGAGAATTGGGACATACAGGTAGGGGACAAAATATTCCATGGGACAGAGCAGACAGAAGCAAAGCAGATGAGAACTCCTGCCTTGTCTAGTGACCTTAATGTTTAGTTCTGCCCCCTAATCACACTCTCACGTTTCTCACAACAACACACTCATACTTTCTCACATGTGCTCGCTCTCTCTGTCTCTCTCTGTCTTTCTCTCTGTCTGTCTCTGTCTCTCTCTCACACACACACATTCTCTCACTCGCAGTCTCACACACGTGCCCACCTTCTTGGAGACCTTAGGGGTCCTTCCTGTTGTGTTGTTCCCATGGAGTGGGGGAGAGAGCATGGGGCCACCCACTGAGACTGAAGACTGAGACTCACTGAAGCCTTAGTCCCTCTGAGCTCAAGCTCTTATCCAGCACTCTCTTCTACTTGTGTCTTTTTCTTTATTTGATTTTTGGACCACACCCAGTGGTGCTCAGGGTTTCCTCCTGTCTCTGTGCTCAAGACTATTCCTAGCTCTCTCTCAGAGTTTACTCCTGGCTAAGCTCAGGGCTTACTCCTTGGCTCTGTTTTTTGTTGTAGTTTTGGTTTGGGGTTGGTTTGGTTTTTTTATTTTTTTGTAGGGGTGGGGGTGGGGGTGGGGAGCACACCTGGCGATGCTCAGGAGTAATTCCTGGCTCTGCACTCAGGAATTTGTCCTGGCGAGCTCAAAACACTATATGGAATGGGAGGGCTTCTACTGGATTCGGTCATGGAAAAAAACAAGCACCCTACCTGCTGTACCATCTCTCCAGCCCTCACTCCTGGCTCTGTGCTCAGAATTACTCTGGCCCTGTGTGGTGCTCACCCTGTGACATCTTTGTACTCTGCTATAACGCTTATCTCTGTTCAGCGCTTACACTAAGGTTGATTTCCTGTAATGCTGCGCCACCTGCTGGACAGATGATGTAAGAACAAGAGACTTGGCCTTAACGCCATCTTTTCAAGTGGCGGTGGTGGTTCTTAGGAATATCCCGTTCCTTTGGTCCTCCTAAAGAACCAGCTCAAATCTTTTGATTCACAATGCCTGGGCCTGACTCCAGGAGCCTGGGGCAAGAGGGAAGCTGATGGCACTTGTCAGACGCAGGGAGCTGCTCCCAAAGAATCCAGCAGTGAAGGGTCAGTTCAGGGATGGGGTTGGATGAAGGACCCCAGCCAGGAGCAGAGGGTGCAAGGGAGAATCTGCAGGGGTTGCTCACCCAGCGCAGAGCTCAGACAACAGGTCTAACTTCAGCTTCACTGTAAAATTATGGCTGCTGCTGCCTTCTAGGAAATGCCTCGCATTTACCAATCAGTATGAGCAGGCACAGCCTGTGGAATATGGGGTTTGGGGAGAGGACTTTTCTCCCCAACTGCCAGAACTCAATTTTCATGAGTGATCCCTCAGCACAGCATCAGAATTAATCCCTTGGCACTTCCAGGTGTGGCCCCAAAAGCAAAAAAAAAAAACACACAAGAAATCCATTGTTATACCAAATAAAAATGTCAACTGCCCTATTATAGAAAAACTTTTTAAATAAGGAACTAAAATGCCTAAATTTGAAATTAAATAGGTGGGCAATAATAAGTCAGGGGCCAGAGCAATGGCACAGAGGGTAAGGTGTTTGCTTTGCATGTGGCCAACCTGGGTTCGATTCCTAGCATTCCATATAATCCCCTGAGCACTGCCAGAAGTGATCCATGAATGCAGAGACAGGGGTAGCCCCTGAGCATCGTCAGTGTGGCCCAAACACAGGTGAGCAATCCTGAGTGTAGCATCCACAGACAGAAATAGAATATTTGCAGGTCACCCAAGTTCTGTCAGGGGCCTCATCCACTTGCGACTGATCTACTTGTGCCCAAGAAATCTCTGTTTACCCCAGTGTGTCTGCACATAAAATAGGTATGTGAATCATATATTTAATAATATCGAGGAATTTATTTTAAAATGCTCCACACATTAGTCACATTGAACTCACAGGGTTGTGCCCCCCGGCTTCAGCAGCCCTAGTCTACTAGACCATCAACACAGGTGTCAGGCTGGTGGGGTTATTCAGCTCTGCAGCTGGAGTGCAAGAACAGACGGAGACACTAAGTGAAGATCTACAATGGCTATGTTCCAATAAAACTTTACTGACATGAGGGTCAGGCACATTTGGTGTCTGGCCCCTATACTAGACACAGCAGAAAGCAAAAGAAGGTGTAAGTCACGAACAGAGATCAAGTCATACAGGTCAATCTACATAAAAAGAAAAAAACTAAAATTCAAGATCTTGGCTTTAAAAATATAGAATTTTATTAAATTCTGATCCAGTATATTAAATTATATCATAACATGTAAATTTTATCATTTCAGTCCAGTGATTTAAATCAAGCTTTGTATCAAAAGAGAGTAAATTACTTTTCAATGTCATGGTATGTTGGATTATAGTTCTAAGTATTTTAGATTTAACTTTGAACTGTCCTTGCTCCTCCTGCAGGGAGCCTAAGTTTACTGAGTTACTCCCACCACAGTGCTCCCAAGGCACACCCAATTCCATCAGGCATTTCCAATCCTCTTTATCTTAAACCTCTCTTTGTGCTCTTCTTTCCCTGTTAACCACTTATGTCCCCAAATCAGACTCTGTAACTTGTAATGTCAAAACCAGAGGGCTGTGGGTTTTGTATATATAATTGAAATACTGCTTTTCCCTTTCCTTTATGTCCTGTATCCTTTGCATAGTTTTAGTGCAATGTCCTTTCTGTATAGATACAGGAAGACAGTTAATGTTATGCTTTTAATACATGAGAGTTAATTGACTAGGAATAATATTTACTCCTGGGCATCAATCCTATTTACCTGCCTTAAGCCTCAATTACCCTTAGTTCCTAATATTCCAAAAGGGAAGTCCTGGCAAAGGAAAAGGATGGACCCAGAGCAAGCCATAAGCTTTGATGCCAAGCTACTCTGGCATCAAAAAGGGACAGGCTAAGCACCATAAGTATAATAAGTTATGAACACAGTCATGGAACAAACTGGCATGACCCAAAAAAGAAGTGACTGGATTAAGACTAACCTGACTAGAAGACTGTAGCCTGGAATATACAGTGAGATGTCCCTAGGAAGAGCTACACCTTTTATATATCTCTTACTGTGTCCATGCAAAATGACTAAAAATAATATTAATAAGTAAGTTTAAGATGACTTTCAATGGATAAGGAAAGGAGAAAGCAGTATGCCCTCAGATGGAATTCCACCCTTGGGCTGATCTCTTAGTAGGGATCTAGAGTGCTGAGCCCTTTGATGAGATTTTGTCCTTGAATAAATCTTCTAGAAGAACTTCCCCAAAAGGAAAGGCTTTATGTCTGTTCATTGTTCAACCACACCCATATGTAATTGCTAACCCAAACCCTTCATGGTTTCTCTATAACTAACACTGTTAGACTTGAATAAATGGCCACTGATTACCAACCAGCCTGGTGGTCCCCATTTCTTCATTTGCCCATCACCGGTGGCTGGCCAGGGGAACAGTAATTGTCTCTAAATGCTCTAGGGGACACTCGGGTCACCAAGGGTGAGCTGGTGACACCCAGGAACAGCAGCAATGATACACATACAAACTTAAATCCTGTTCTTTGCTGTAAACATCAAATTTTAAAAAGTATGTTTAGGGTATGATGCCTCCAAGACGTCAATCTGTACCTGCGGGGTGAGTGCCATCAGCAGCCTATGGTGCCTTCAGGCTTCCTGACACCCCAAAATTGCCGCTGTGCCTTTGGCCAGACCCTAAC